ACCCTGCGTCGGGTAGGTCGGAGCCGTGGTGACGAGCTGAAGATTTACATCATTTCGAGAAACTCGAGAATAATCTCTCTCTCACTCTCTCGTGTGGCCAGCCGACCAACGAACGCTTCCGGGTCTCATACTTACGGCACTTCGTACGGTCTGGTCGTACCGCTCTCCGTCTTTTCTCTTATCTCGGGGGTTGGTTTTCTCTCATGATCCTAGCTCCTGATCCGGGCACTAAAGTTTTTCTCGTATTAATTGAGCTGCCTCGGGAAGTGAAGATCATCTGCACTCTAAGACGGCGAACCCTATTGGAGGAGACTACGGATACCTCGTCAACGACGCCAAACCACCCCGCCCTTGGAAAGTCTGGGGATGATGGTATGTACATCGTTTGCCGGCCCACCCGGGATTGTGGTCACCATATTTCATGCTGGCTGTCCCTATGAGGCTCAGATGCCATGAGACGAACCCTCCAGGAATGCAACTTGAACCTTCTGTTTGTCTGGAGTCTGGAGGAAAGTCTAAAGCAACATGGGTAAAGTGATAACTGATGACGGGTCATATCTGTTACTCAGCGACTATGGCATCTAGGCCATGGCTTTGGGGTGCTTCCGATATTCCATATGACTCTCGTCGATTATGGGCACCAGCCTAACTTGATGTGAGAGTCTCTATTGCCAAAGCATTCGCTACACGACTCTGGCATGCAGCGCATGACAAGTTTGCGCGTTTGCATGGAATATTTGATAGGTTCAAGCAGAACTGCTTGGATATCGGATAATCGAGAAACCATGGTTACCTCGGAATCAAGATGCTAAGCAGCGTGGCGGCCTTACAGATAGATGACATGTCATCCGATGCAACCATTAGATAGTACAGACACACGGACTGGCTGTTCTGATGTCTCCGTGGGTTCTCGGATCTGTGGAGAGAGCTCCCATGATGTAACTGGGGTGAGCTAGAGGTCTGTCTGAGCGCAAGTACGTGATATCTGGTTTAACTAGCTGCAGAAACTTGTCATCAGCATCCAATGCTTTGTTTGATTCCCATGGACTAGAGGTTAGCGTTTTTCTGTGCACCCAACTCTCGTGTTGGCCCAGTCTTTTTGTGGACAAGATAAGAAAAGTGTGGGTGAATCTTGATTGTTGAGTCTTTGCCTCATCGTCGCATCACATAGAGTCTTCGTCGATTTGAAGTGTGTGTGTAGTCTAGGGGTCTGGGCCAGCCTGGTCTCATGATGTCAGCCACAAACCTATCTTTGGCAACTCAAGGTGTCAGACACGTGGTTCCCAAGTCACCTTGATTGTTACCATGACTTCAATCAAAGTGAGTCAAGTAAGCGCACGTGAGTTTTACAAGGCTTCAAAGGCAACTTCGAGCACATGTGTTTACTGAAATCGGATGATGAAGAAATGCGTGTCTGAATACATGCCTCATGGACAAGCCTAAACACGTCGAAACTGAATCTTGCAGTGAATCTTACCTATCCTCATTAGGCCCAGACTTTGTTAGAGGCTGCTTAATTCCATAAAAGCTATGCGAGTCGGACTCATGTTTTGGTATTTAATCTGGAAACATTGCGAGAGGAATCTACACATAACGTCCACGAGGCACTTGCTTTCTTGTTCGACTCGGTGCGACTACGAGGCGTTCGAAGCGTTATGGCTACGAGGAATTTCATCTTATCTTTAACGTTACTCCGCGAGTCCTTCATCATAGTTCTAGCTCTATTCTTCAAAGCTTGCGAGACTTTGGCGCAATTGGATATCGGTGCGAAATGCTGTGTTCTTACTTCCAAGTTAAAGTTGTGTCAAACTACTTACTCTCATATCTTGCAGGGCACTCAACGTGATCCCTTCGAGTGGAACATGTCTAAGATGTGGTTTTGACTGGTCCTCAATCGGAATTGCTGGTTATCAAACACTGTGCGAATGCTTGTTAAGATCTTGGCCCCTAACCAGTGATGATCAAGTTTTGATTTGTCACTGATATTCCGGATTCGAATTTGAAGAAATACAGGCTAGGGTGCCGTCTGACAAGAAATGGGGCAGATGCGAAGTAGGGCAATCAACATGAAGTCTTTATTCACTCAATAGTGGCTCCTGTATCCGTAGAAGAGAAAATGATTGCGCTTCGGACTCTGTTGCCCCTTTACGAATTCATTTCACAACTGCGCGCTCTTTGACTTGCAAAGTCGCGAACATTGCATGACTCGTGCTTTTGACAAGAGCGCTCCATATCTCGCAACATCTCAGGGGAAGGAGGGATTTCTATTACCCAAAGTCTGAAGTATAGAGTGTCCGGAACTTTAATGGAGCTTGGACTCCGTTGCATCTTTGGCAAACATTCGATCTGCTTGCATGATGTGCCGTCAAGGTGCTTTGCTGGGACCCACTGAGAGGGTTTTCTGGAAAAGGGCTGGAGCTGAAGTGAAAGATAGGAGTAAGTATTCTCAATCAAAGGATAGAGGTTTCTGGTAAAAGGGCAAGTGCGTAGATGAACACTTGGGTATTTTGCTGCTTCTCCGGTTGAAAGCATCGTGACTCAATTTTACTGTGGCCCTGGGCTACTCCGGCCCTTCTCCCAAAGCCAGGCCGCCATGGCCATGTTATTTTGTCAGCCTTCTGGGCACATTATCATCAACCTGAGTAATGAATCGAAGGTGCACATAGCCTGGAACTTATGGTCTTGTTCGACTTCATGCCACAGAAATATAGTCTACAGTTTCCTAATTTGTCAAGTCTGCATGTTTCACGACCTTCAGATTCTCAACATGCTATAATTTGCCGTGGAACTTTTGGAGAAAGACACATCATCAAGTGGAAGTCAGTGTATTATGACCGACTAAGTCGGCACTTACAAGGGGTTTAAGTGGTAGAATCAGATATTGACAAGAGACCCAGCGTAGAGCACCTGTGTTGCAAAAAGAAGCGCCGGTACTTTGCCATCCAGTCTACAAGGATGCTCGCAAGCTAAGCTACCCGCAACGCATTTGAGGTTAAACAATAGAGTCTTGCTACATGACCCTATCAAGATGCTTAGTGACTTCATGCTATCATTTACTTTATGTAGAACCCATCACCCCGGATCCTGGGTTCCTAGCCGGAGTACCTCAGCACCGACTGAGCCACAGATAAAATGGCGTTGGTCACGAAAGTGGTGCCTTTTCTAGGCACATTATCAATAACAGTCTCATTTTCCCAGGTATCACAGCGTATGATATTCAGAAAGCTCATAGAGAGTGAAGTAGTAGAAGTAATGAGAAGCAATATTGCGAGTGAGAGTTTTGGTAAGTGACAACTGGAACTTGGCACATGTTGAGCGGCAGATCACTGAAGTCCACTTGAGCATCCATCAGACGTGTTCGAGGTGAGCCAAGTGTATCTATCTGAGCGGTAATGGCAACAGCCAAGGGCCAACATGATGTGAGATGTTTTCCAGAGAATCAATGATGCAGCCATTCGTGGTACCGAGGAGTCTGTAAAACCAACGTTCAACCTTGGGCCAGGACAAATGAGGCAATCCAAATCAGTTCAGATTTGGACATCCTACTAACTTGACTTAATCGTACACAATAGATTCAAGCTTTGATCCAGCGAGCGTTTCTCACTCTTCAACAGTGAATCGTTTGAAGCCTACCTAACTTACATTCATCTCTCAAACATTCTTGAGGGAAGATACCTTGCTGGCTGAAGAGAAACCAATACTGGCACTCATGTTTCATGATGAATGAAGGCTAATTGCTTAGTATACATAATAATTAACGAGCAACGTGTATGTCCCAACTTCACATCGTGAGTTCCGATCAATACATCACAACAAAGTCCATGAAGGCCCAGATGCTCCAAGAGTCTGGGGCCTGGGCTTTCTACTCTGTAACCCATTCAAGAACTTTGAGAAGCTCGCCAGAACTTCAACGTCCTGACAGCAGTGCCAACTTTCGCTATAGTGGTACGCACTACGAAGCACGATGTTTGTTTTTGATTTAACATCCCCATCGCCTGAGCTCAAACCTCATATCTTATACTCAACGACACCAGTCAGGCTGACAAGAAACAATTCTTTCCAGAAACAATGAGAACAGCCTGATCGTGTGTTCAAGCCTCGGCTAGTGGCATACAGTAAAAGATAGCTTCAAGTTAACGTGACTTCATCGAACGCGTGCGAATCATCGTCCACGGACTCATCACCGTTTAGATAAGTAACTCGGCAACTAAAGTACTGTGTCTATGTCTCAGGCTTAGGCATATTCTCGTTTGACGCCACTGTGTTTCGAATATCACCATTGCACGTTTTTGTGGAATCTCAGAACTCCAAGTTCCTTTCGTTCGTCATAATTGAAACTTCTATGGTCTAATCAGAGAGGGATGGAAGTGTAGAAAACTAGCAATGAACCCTCGGGGATGAGGGACTTTGCGATGTATTTTCCTAGGTAATATAGACATACCACCTCCGCGATATTCATCCGAGCTCGAGGGATCTCTCTTTAAACCCCTTCGATAGGACTACTCCAATATGGCAGGATAAAACGATAAGGTACACTAGGTCTCAGAACCTGGTGTAGTTAATGAGGCCGCCATGGTCCTGATAATCTCATGACTTCCTCGAAATAGAAAGTCGGCAAAAAAAACTCCCCCATCGCCCGCTACAGTCCAAATGTGATGATGGCATGCCAAAGCCGAAGCTACCTCCCGCTGTCCGTAGACCCCAAAGCCCACCAAGAAACCCCCAAACCGATGCAGTGCCGTTGTGATGATGATGATAACGATGATGATGCCAGCCCGCCAGCTGGTCCCTTTGATGCAATGCCCCAGTTACACCAAAGCACATGCAATGCGGGAAAGGAGGCGTCCAATCCCAGGAAAATCAAAAAACCCAAATCTAAAAAAACCCTACATCGCCTTTAGCGGTATGCAGTGTTCTCATTCGTACTCGTCGCCTTGCTCGTTTCGTGTCGTCAGTCTTTGCTTCATGCCAGTGGATCTTTTTCTTCGTAACTTCGCCACTCATGGCTTCGGCGCGTCGAGCGGTTTTCTTCCATAGACTGTCCTGTGGTTGAGATAGGAGTGGAAGTCCCTTTCCTTGACGTGCGACCGGACATCCAACAAGAACATCTCGATCTGTATCTCGGTCCATCCCAGGGCTCTGAAAGGCCTTGTTGCCAGACCCTTTAGGCCTTCCAAGATCGTTTCCCGCATCAATATGCCACACTCGCGCAACTCAGGCCTTGCTGGCCAGTCGCCGATGGGACACTTCCTCCTGTCCTCTTCCACGTTTTCAAAACCAGCGGCCCGCATCTCATCGGCGGCGGCGCGAATTCCATGCATTTCTGATCCAAGAACTCTTAATCCGGCGTCGAGGTACTGCGTAAAGACTCGGAAACCGTACCCATCTCCATCTGGGCAAGACTGGTCGTCGCATAGAGGGAAGAACTCGAGTTCTTGTATTTCGAACCAACCGCCGGGCTTGAGGTGCCTATCGGAGTTTAGCCTCTCATCTTAAGGGAGCATTGTTCGATAACTTGAGGGGGGACATGAACATGAGATGAGGCGTTTACCTGTAGGCCCGTTGCATGAGATCGTTGCGGTCGCGAATAGAGTGCAGGGTATGACGCAAATGAATGAAATCAAAGTACTCCTCGTCTAAATCCCATCCATTTTCGTGTTCGATATCATCGACCATGAAGTGACAGTTGGGAGGCACTTCACTCGGCTGAATCGGAGACAAATCGATGCCGAGAAACGTAGAGTTGGGATGCATATCGGCGACTACGGGGTCACATGTAAGTTTTACCGCTTATCATAAAAGTAGTGATGATGGTGATGATGGTGGTGGTGTGAGAAGATTCGCGTGAAAATGAGTTATATAATGGGAAATGAAAATGATCTTGAGGGCTTGGAACTTACGTTCAATAGGCCAGTGACCGGGTCCAGTTCCTGTGAAGCATGGTGTTAACTAACTGCGATTCACGGCTTATCCCAATATGTAGATAAACGGCTTGGTAGTGACGTCGCAAGATTCTGCCGTCGCTCTCTTCAATGCCGAGGCATCGGGAATAACGTCGTAATGCGTCTTGCAAAAGATAGCATTCATTACGTGGCGGTAAGTATTCGCCACGATAATCTCAAGTACGTCACCACCATGGCGCCTCACATGAAAAGCTCTCACTTACCCAGATCCAGGACTTCGGCGCCTCTTGCCATCAGGTCATCGACAGGGGAATAGAAGTACCTCCCACTCAGCTCTATGCTGATGATGTGCTTCATCTCGTCGCGGTCTTGCTCAATAGCATCGTTGGGGAATGCATAACGTCCTGCGCGGTAGGCGTGATATCGTAGTCGGTTCTCGTACATGTGCTCTCTCACACTGTCGGTCAAGCTTTCGGTATCGTACTCATCGCCATTATGAGAACCGACAGTGATAGCTGTATCGGTGGAACCGGGCGGTGACATGACGGCCGGGCCTGATGTTGCCGGAGAAGGGGGGCCGCCGAGTTTAAGCCGCTTTTCGGGCGGTTCTTGGTCTGAAGGCGGGCCGCGAGCGGACTTCACCAAGAGGTCTCTCAGTTGTTCTTCGCGTAATGAGTTTGGCGGCGAATTCATTGTGGACGAGAATTATCTGCTTGGTGCGCTTCGTACCCAACAGACGCCAGCCGGGTCAACCTTTCGGATTAAGCGTACACGAAGTCGAATGTCGTCGGGCGTGAAGAAAGGTTCTCAGCAACAGGTGTTCAATTTGTCGAGAAGTTGACGGCGATGCGAAATAGCAATGCGAAGCGATCCAAATCCAAAACCTTGGCTTTCTCAACGTCAGAGAGCTTTCCAGGGATGGAAAATTCAAATCATGGACCCCTCCACCAAGACCAAAATGCCGGCGATGACGTCCCTAATTGGCAGCCAGGCTTGTCTGTTTCCACCTGTCAGATCAGAAAAGTCCCGAAGCGGCGTGCGGCGTGGGGAGTGGTCGAGCCGCTTGTGGATAGAGAGACAATCTGGATAGGGAGATGTTGGACGAAAACGTCGGTCTATTTGGTGGTGTGGGAGCGGGGAGGCGAGAACGAATAATGGGAAAGCAAACTTTGCGCTGCTTGTCTTGGAGAAGAGGAGGATACTGAGAGGGGGGGAAAAAGGATAAAAAAACCACTGGAGCGGATGACAAGGACAGACCCGAGACAATGGGAGAGGGTTATTTGGGGGTGGTGTGCGTGCGCTTTGTTCGGGACGAGGTAAATCGCGGACGCGAGCAGCGAAGAGAAGGATGGGAGGTAAGGGGATCAGGGATCGACTTCAACAACTGTTTGTTCGGGAATTCTGGCATGTCTTGCGACGGGACAGGCTTGGTGTTAAGAGAGAAAGGGTATGGTGGTTTGAATGGCTCGGCATCGACTTTGACATGGCCCGTGAAGGTGCCTCAGAAAACAGAAAGACTTCCACGACGGGGGAAACGAGAAGGGGGTCGTCCCATACCTGGACTAATAAAGTCGCCAAGGTACGTACTAGCAAGGTAGCTGAAGGAGCCCGGTACCAGAGGAGGCGGCGGATGGCGGACAGGCTGAGAATGAGATGGTGTTTGTGGGTGACCTTTTGGTATCAGGGGTGGGGGATTCAGGCTTCGTGTAGAGCTATGTAACCTGCAACCTGTCTAGCAAACTTCGACCGTCGACTAGCGTCCGTCTAGAAGAGCGGTGTTCAAGTCTGACGCGACAAGACTTTGGTGCGTTCTCGGCCGTCGTCGTCGTGGCTAGGGTGTGAAAGAGCAACGATTCGACGCAGCGGAATGTGGTGAGATCGGGTTGTTCGCCGAATGCCCTGTGCGGGGGAAGAGGTTGTCGACCCTGGCAGGTATCTCGAATCCTTCAAGTTGACAGATGATCGATAGCTCGACAACGCTCCCGGCAGCAGATCAAGCAAGACTGGGAGACAAAGGTCGCAAAACAAGTCGCAGAAGGAATCCTGGGCTGGTAGATGATGATGTGGGGAATCTCGAGGGCCCGACAGTATGGCAACGTTGAAGAAGACGACGGCGAAAACAAAGGTGAAAAGGGAGCGATTATGTATGTGTTTGGTGTCAGTGGTCCGAAGGCAAGGGGACAATGAGTGCGAGAGAGAGAGGCAGGCAACAGAATGTAGACTTGAAGGAAGCATGGATGTTCGAGTACGGATGATTGGCAAGGTCCAGGTCTTTACTGCTCCACGTCCCGTCCCTGCACAGGTCGCTGTGGCCCTCTCCGTCTCTCTGTCTCTCTGTCTCTTTTGCTCTTAGGAAGCACGGAAGTGAACCTACTAGACACTAAGGCAGGGAAGGAAAGGTACATGAGGGTCGACGGGTCAAGGGAATGTACATTGCTTCGCCCAGGTACAAGTGGGAGACTGGGAGTGGCACTTGCGCTCTGCTCTGCTTCGATACCTCAGATGCTACAGCAAGGCTTGGATGACTTATACTTGCAGGGGCGGGTAATGCTTTCCCGCTCGATACCCGGGCTGTGGTTCTTTGCATGCCAGGGTTAATATTGGCCGCTGCCTGACGACTCAATAACTATCTTTTTTTTTGATGACTTTACAGCTTCACAAGAACGATAAAAACGAAGATGGATGAGAAAGAGCTCGAGGAGTGTGTAACCTGTCGACTTGGCAGTGCTTAGCACCAAGCGAGCTTACCATGCTTACTGCGCAAGACAAGACAGTCTCGACAGCTCTAGTGAGCTACCATAGGCGAGTTGCCTCGAATTTGGTTAGCTCGTCAGCCGCCTACCTACTGTTCCTCGAGTGTGCCTAACGCCCATCGCTCTGCCCCTGGGGCCTGGGGGCCACTGGGGTGTGTGAGTGTGTGTGTGTCTCCCGTTCAGATACGACGGGCTGGGCAAGGAACGAAACAGGCAGGGTACAACATACAGGCCTGGCCACTGTCAGTGGGGTGGCTGCGCACATCAGTGGTGCGGGCAGCGGGTGAGGAGGGTAAGGGCATCGGCGTCGGAGGGGGAGGGGAAGGAATCCTTCAAAACAAGCTGTCGGGTCAGACCTGAAGACGTGGGGACCCGGGAATGAGGAACGAAGGCGTCGTGACGGGCCTATGATTGGCTCGACTCAGGGATTTGGGGGTGAAGCACGTCTGTTTTGCACCAGAATTGGCATCACCCTGCCTTTGCGTACGTGCACAAGCACAGCGCATACATACAAATGAATACAGCAGCGGGACAGGCAGGAGACACGGCGGGAAGAAGAGACACGAACGTGGTCCCATGTGGGAGAGCACATGGTCCGTCACAACATCAGCTTATTGAATCGGTATACGACAGCGCTTCACGGCGGTTCTCCTATCCGTCTTCTCGTGCAGCGCGGGATAGGATATAATGGGCCAAGACCAAAGGGAAGGTGGAAGGAAGTGAACATCGTGAGGGGAACATGGGCAAAGGGTTCCAAAGAGGAGACGGAGGGGGGAACTAGTGTATGTAGACAGTCTACCACAGTAGAAGTGGGATTGGGTAAGGTCGTAGCTGAAGTGGAGGGGTGTAAAGCACGTTGAGGTCAAGGTAAGGTGACTTTTTGCGATAGGTATTACCCCAAGAGTCAAAACAACGCCGAAATAGCTCTTGGGCTGTGAAGATCGAGGAAGAAGATGGGGGTTGCTTGCGAGCACTTCTGGGACCTCATGTCCTTGAGAGGTCGCCAAACTGCAGCTCAGAGAAACAATCCCAATGTGCTGTGCGCTGGCAGACGTGGCTTGCCTTAGGGCTGCGACCATGGCCGCGGTGCCGTGGTGCCACGGTAGATGGGCGAGTCAGGAGCCGTCAAAACCCTTGATGAGACGGGTGATGATGTGCGGCAGTAGGGCTCCTTTTCGAACCGGAACCGCATGTTGTATCTGAGAGATAGCCGTTCACCGAGTGGAGATATATCCATTGCCAGCCGCGATACTCTGTACATATCCGTACAGAGTGTAGAATATCCTTACTCTGCTAGGCACACGGATGTGAGCCAAGACGATGCGTGCGTAATGAGCGGAGCGTCTACGGAGTACATGGTGGCCTAATGGAGACTGGACATGAATCTGCATGTGCTTCGTGTATGCGCAGTGTCAAGGCTCGGGAGGTAGACCGAGAGTCGAGAGAGAAGAATATGAGATAGGGCGAGATAGCAACGGGAAAGAGGAGCCAGAGGAAGACTCTGAGAAGCACATGATGAAGCGTGGCCAGTCGTGATGCCAATGATTGTCGACATGTTCTGTACTGAAGAGGGGCAACTGGAGCTGCTGATGGGGAACTCTCCTGCGGACGTCCATCGACCTGCTTATTAGGCGGACTATCGTCGGAAGGAAGTCCTTCGAGAGTCAAGCCGCGCAAAGATGACCTAGGACTGCTACTGCTACATACTGCTGCTAGGACATCATCTCGCACCGAACCTATCGTGTACCTGTGTCTAGGGGGGCCCGCCGACCCAAGGGAATGGGAACATGACTTCCTCAAGCAGCAACAGCAGCAGCAGCAGCAGCAGCAGACGCAAAGCAAGTGCCCTGTCCTGTCCTGCCCTGCCCTGCCCGCCTCGCCTACACTCTACCTTAGCTGCGCTGATGCACTGGGAGGAGCTGCGGATGGGAGGAGCACAGGAGTAACCTCGACCTGGAACGTGCAGCGTCCCGGCCGCCTCTCTGCCCCCCTTCTCGTGGATCCGGGCAGGCAAGGCAAGGCAAGCCGCAAAGGTAAAGGCAAGGCGGAAGTACCTGCGGGTGTCGAGGTACATCGACCATCTGTTGACCACTGTTCTCTCTCTCTCTCTCTCCCTCTCACCCAAGGGCCCCCTCCCCCCTTCCCAGCCCTCCCAGCTCCCAGTCAGTGTCACTCACTTGCCTTGGGCCCTTGGCTCGGACGTTTCCATGGTACGGGGCATGCTTATCTAATCCACTTGTTCTCTCCACTTGTGCTGGACAGGTACAAGCTCATTTTCAAAGCCCGGAACCGGCAGGGCCCCCAACACGAATCGAGGATTTTCGCAGGGACATCAAAGTTGACGGAGAGTTCCGCAATAATCTTCCTGACTACTCTAAGTCTATCACGGTAGGTGTAACGAGTCTAGGACCTTTCTAGTCTGCGATGCTATCAGTACATACGTCTGTCAAAAGGTCTGTCCATCACTTTGGTAGTGTCGGCACCTTCGCGTCTGACCAAGTCTTGGCCTTCGTTCACTACGCCATGCCATTCGACATTGTGGCAGGTTTCGATGGAGCCACAAAAGGATCAACACCTCGTCAATGAACTCTATTCTGTCTCGAACCAAGCTGCTGGGATGAAGCGCCATGAACCTGCAACAAGCGGCCGACAGCACAGTCAAGCCGCCAACCCGAGAGAAGGGGAACTCCTGGGAAACGTAGCACCCCACGAATAGTCAAGACTCAAGACCCCAAGGCCCCAAGACCCAAAAGTTCAAGAGTTGGGACAAGGAGCACGGAGCACAGAGCGCCGAAGCTCGGTCGAAACTGAAGACCGGGGCCGTCAACCCCTCGGCACCGTCATGATGGCCGACCGTCTGACGGTCTTGTTTTGCGGCTCTTCGGTTTCTGATGGGGACCCCCCGTCTATGAAGTCTCCAGCAAGATCGAGCCCTGAAAG